CTCGCAGGCAAGACTGAAGACTGCTGACAGAGCATGTCCTGATGGACTCTTAAAAAAAAAAAATATATATATATATGAAATATATATATATATGAAAGGAAGATTTACAGAGATAAGGAGAGACAGAAAGATCTTCTATCCTCTGGTTCACTCCACAAATGGCTGCAACAGCCAGAGTGAGCCAATCTGAAGCCAGGAGCCAGGAGTCTTCCCCAGGTTTGCCACATGTGTTCAGAGTCCCAGCACTTGGGCCGTCCTCTGGTGCTTTCCCAGACCACAAGCAGGGAGCTGTAGGGAAGTGGAGCAGCCCAGGCATGAATCAGCACCCATATAGGATCCTGAAGCTTGCAGGTGGAGGATTAGCCAATAGAGCCATTTTGTCAGGCCCATGATGGGTACTTTCTAAAGATGCAATGCAGTAAGCCACCAGGTGTGACACCAGCCTCCCATAGGAGCACTGGGTTGGGTCCTGGCTGCTCTACTTTCAATCCAGCTCCCTGTTAACATCCTGGGACGGAAGCAGAAGGTGGCGCAAATGCTTGGGCTCCTGCTACCCATGTGGCAGACCCAGATGGAGTTCCTGACCAGCCCTGGCCATTGCAGCCCTCTGGGAAGTGAATCAACAAATGCAATCATTCTCTCTGTCACTCTGATTTTCAAAAAATAAATCTTTAAAGGAGAGAGAAGTAGAAGATAGGCCCTTTGCTGCCCCAGATCTCAAGGAAATAAAACGCACACAGCCCCAGGACAGAAAAGCTCAAGGTAGCCAGTGGAGGAAGGAGGTGTGGCCTTGAGGAAAGAGGCCTGGGAACACGTGCCTAGGATTATTATTTTCTTAAAAAGATGGATCTTGGGCCCGGCATGATAGCCTACTGGCTAAATCCTCACCTTACATACACCAGGATCCCATATGGTCTCCGGTTCTAATCCCGGCAGCCCCGCTTCCCATCCAGCTCCCTGCTTGTGGCCCAGGAAAGCAGAAGGCAGCTCAAAGTCTTGGGACCCTGCACCCACATGGGAGATCAGGAAGAAGCTCCTGGCTCCTGGCTTCATTTCAGCTCGGCTCAGGCCATTGTGGCCACTTGGGGAGTGAACCAATAGATGGAGGATCTTCCTCTCTGTCTCTCCTTTTCTCTGTAGATCTGACTTTCCAATAAAAATAAAAAATACATTTTTAAAAAGAACACAAACTTCAAACTTAAAAAGAAAAAAGATTGGATCTCTGGTTATGAGCAGACTGGGTGATTATTTGCATACAGAGTCCTAGATGAGCTCCCAAAAACTTTTACAATTACTAAGAATGTTTCACAAAATTGCTCAAAGAGATCAACATGCCAAAATCATAAGCATCCGTCTTCTTCGTGGTCATCAGTCGCACTAGAAAACCCTGTTTCCTTTAGCGACAAGAACTACAAGGCGCTCCGAGATGCATGTACTGAGCCATACACACGTTTACCTAAGAATGGGAAAAGCCAGAGCAAACAGGGACAGTATTTGCACACGGAAGGTGCCATTTTGATCAAAATCACAACAGCACAGCTCATGAAGGAGAAAGAGAAAGCTCATAGTAAGAGAGACAATATATGAAGAAGGAAGAGGTGGCGAGCAGCAAGAGGACAAAGGGCTTGCCAGACATCGTGTGCCCCTTATGACAAGGCTCTAGTGGTGAGAACGAGTGATGAGACGCAACAACGGACGCACGGGCCCTTGGACAAGCAGCGACTCCTGGGAGTCCAGGCATTGAAGGTGGCTGCTTTTCAAATCAATTTTTAAAAAATTCACATATTAGAAGATGAAAGATCTGATTCATCTGACTGCTTTAAATTAAAAAATTTCAGAGTGACTTAAAACATCATAAACAAAACAGAAAGAGGAACTCTGGAGTGGCCGGGGACAGACAGAAGGTCTGTAAGTGACAAGCAGCTTGGTGTAGAATGCAGAAAGAAAGGCCAATGAAGGAGACTGCCGGAGACAACAGGAAAGAATCACAAGCAGGCCAGTCCCAGGGGAGGGGACAGAAGTGGTTGAAAAACAAATGCAGAGTTGCAGATTAAATAAGCAAAATACATTAGATATAATTTCCTATTTAGAGACTGATCTAAACTGTCAAGTCTGGCAGCACCAAGGGCTAACAGCCTGGTGGGAACATTGGAGCTTGTAGAGGCTGGAGACGTCCATTGCGGTTTGTTTATAACAACAATCCTGTGGCCGGCCCCACCCACAGCCCTTCGGTCCTGAAGGGGCACAGAAGTCAGATCCTTGGCCCTGGGGCCTCTTTGGCTTCTAGTTGTCTTCTAGATGACTTTTCCAAGTCACCTCTGTCTGTGTTGTGTGCTCTCTCCAGGATATGCTGGAGCTCTTTCATGCCCACCCCTGTTTACAGGCAGGTCCGTGTGCAAACTCCAGGTGCTCCGAGGGACCTCCCCTCCCTCACTACCCCCAGCCAACATCCCTGCTCTCGCAATAAGAACCAGGGTTGTTTACAGAGAAAGAGGGTGGACTCTGGCTAGAGACGAGGTCTCAGGTCCAGCGGTATTCTGTGCTGTTTGCATGACCAGAGGCAAGTTATCCAAGCTTTCCGTGACTCAGTTTCCTCTCTGTAAAGCAGGGATAATAACAGTTTTCACCTCGGAGTGTTGAATGAGTCAATGTGTCCAAGACTTAGACAAGAGCCTCATATAATGGAAGTGCTGGTTAACAGGAGACAGACCTAGCAGTTAACATGAATGAACCAGACGACGGCAGCACAGATAAGCCTCATGAACACGCTGCTAAATAGAGTCCCACACTTCTCTCCCCATCTCTGCATTTACCTAACAGGCTCCGGCTCCCCCTTACACATGCCCACACTCCAGTGTCCTTGTCACAGGTATGAGTCCCAGTGTCACTGTCCATGGAGGCCCCAGTAGGCTCCCGGCAATGGTGACCAAGTTGAATGAATTGCATTCATTCTCAAACATCTTTGAGTGCCAGAGAGTGGAGACACCACTGACATGGGTGTCTGTGTCAAGGATTCCCCTGGGGGAAAACAGAGGAAGCTGAGAGGGAAGGCGCAGGAGAGCCACACAGAATGATGGGGTGCAATGGGGGCACCTCCCAGGGGCAGGCACTTCCAGCGTGGGATTTCCCTGACTTTGGGGACGGGTCTTGCCCCGGCTGCTTTCCAAAGACCACTGGGTGATGAAGGCATTAACTGTTACATCGACAGAGGATTTTGTGCACAGAGATCTAGAAAGATCCATTCTGAGTCCTGGAGCACTAACTACAGGAGGGAGATCTGGGGATCCAGTGTGAAGGGGTCTTTCTACATACATTGTTTTGAGTTTTGTGAAGCAAAAATTTATTACTTGAGAACTCTTTTTTTAATTAATTGAAAAATCTATTCTCTTGTTTGAGAGGCGAAGAGATAGAGCTGGCACACTGGTTAACAAGCTAATCTTCCACCTGCTGTGCCAGCATGCCATATGGGCACCAGTTAGAGTCCAGTTCTCTGCTTATGGGCTGGAAAAGCAGTAGAAGATGGTTCAGGTCCTGGGGTCCCCACACCCACATGGTAGACCCAGAAGGAAGCTCCTGGCTCCTGGCTTTGGATCTGAACAGCTCTGGCCATTGTGGTCATTTGGGGAGTGAACCAGTGGAGGAAGATCTTTCTCTCTTTGTCTCTCCTCTCTGAAAAATACACCTTTTAAATAAAAACAAACAAATAAAAAGAAAGAAAGATAGAGGAATGGCCAGAGAGACTGAGGTCTGGCTAGGGCTGGGGGCTGGAACACCCATGTGTACCTCTCACATGGCTCTCCAGGCCCCAAGTACTTGAGCCAGTATCAGCTGCTGCTGCCAGAGTCGGTATGAGCAGGATCCAGCCATTCTGATGTGGGAGGCAGGCATCTCAGTCAGCATTCCCCATGCCAGACTAAACATCTTCCCCATCACTTGTGAAATACTGGCAAGAAAATGTTCTTTCGTACGTGGGAGGTGTTCAACGTGAGGGCATGGCTCTCACTCCTGACGGCAAAGATTGGCAGCTGGTACAGACTGCCGTGGGGCCTGCTGAGAAGTGGGCTAAGCTGCGTCTCGTCCTTCTCGCACAGAGCAGGGAGGGTGCAGGCTCTACCTGAACCTGGCATCCTCCCTCCTCTTGCCACACCTGCTCAGCTTCTCCTCGCCCCTCCTCCCACCTGCTCTGCCCAGCAGTGGGCTGAGCAGGGGAACTCTTAAAGCCACAAGCACTGTTAGGACAAACAGTCCATGTGTGTTGGTCCTGCTAATTCGTTAGCAACAAGGAAAGTCCACACCCTACCATGGAAAGACAGAGCCGTGGTCTAGTCCGTGGGGCAGGTACTCATCCTCATCCCCACCCCCTCCTCACTGCCTGCATCCCACCTTCCCAGAATAGTCCACTGCTCACTTCCCAAATAGGTTCCATGGTATTCCATGTTCCTTTCCAGCACAGGCTCCTGGTAGAAGTCCCCCACTACACACACACCATAGCTGCCACTCCTGCCCACGACTCCACTGCTCTTTGTGGGTTAACACGGAAGCCCCGGTCCAGCAGGAGAGGTGAAACAGATCTTCCGCCTCCTTCCTTCAAGCTCTTCTTTCCCCAGGGAGTGGGGCCTCCTCCTGCCCTTCTTCAGCCCCACACTTTCCACCTTTCCAAGCCACCTGCAAGCCAGGTGGTCAGGCTCATGCCCACCAAAGTGGTGAGGAGTGGAAGCCTTGCCCTGCCCAAAGCCTTTGACTTGCTTGTCAAAGAAGCCAGACAGGAGCTGCCACGCATGACTGTACCCTGCCTGCTCATCACCTGTGTCATTTCTCACTCCAAGATGTCTTGGGGGAGACCCTGTCGCAGACCAGGGCACTACAGTCAGCAGATGGCCTGGCTGCCCCACCTCCTCCTCTCTCACCACCCAGGCCTGGCTTTGCCCCCACCAGCTTCCCTGAGCCTCCTGAAGCCCTGCTCTGAAACGCCCCCAGGGGACTCAGAACAAAGGTCTTACCCATTTCAATCCCACAAGTGACCAGGGCTGCGATCACCGCTCCTGCTGATGTCCCCGCAAAGCGGTGGGCTGTGTCCAGCATCCGGGGGGCCAGGTCCCGCAAGGCATCCACAGCCCCAGCCTGGTAGAAGGACAGGAAGCCGCTCCCGGAGAAGGAGATGGAATGAGGGGTGTCCGGGTCCCCCTTAAACACCTGTTCATTCATTTCCTATGGCCTTCGGCACTCACTCTGCAGGAAGCACTCTTCAGGCCTGCCCGCTGCAGCACGGGCTTGTTGTTTCTGTCAAGACTTGCTGCCCGGCCAGCCCGAGCCTGGAGTCGGGCTGTCCCCAGTCTTCTGGGACCTCCACCGTGAGTTCCAGCAGCCTAGGCCTGCTAAGCTCGTCCAGGAGGCAGCCCCAAGGGTTGGCAAGGGATCCCAGGCCCGGCAGTTGGGGTGGAAGGTCCCAGGGGTGTGAGCAGGGTCCTGGTCCTGGGAGCTGCTGCTGGCATCATTGTTTAGCTGGCTTCATCTCTGGCACGGGCACCTCAGCAATTGGCACGCCTGGGAACACTGGCAGCTTCCGGGAGAGGCCGTGCCCAGAGCAGCCGGCACCACTTAACCCTCAGCCGAGGTGAGGCGGCACCTGCAGGGGATCAGGACGTACCGCAGGCCCGCCTCCTCCGAGAGGACGCGATCCTCCCACTGTCATGCCCCTCCCCAGCTCCTTCAGGCCCTGTGCGCGCAGTGTGGGCCATGAGTGTTGCACAATTCCTCCTTGTTTACTCACTTGTTTGTCTACACACTTGTCAGGACTGGCGTGGGCAGCATCATAGGGGAAAAGAAGGCTGGCCTTGCGGCCCCACCCCCAAAATACCCACTCTGGGCCTCTCTCCCTGTCATCCCCTGTCCCCTTCACTGACCCCTTGGTACCCGTGAAGGACTCAGTCTGAAATCTAGATTATTCCAAATGGCTGGGCCTTCCTAGCATATGCTCTGCTTCCCAAGATGACAATATTTAATTCTAAAGGTGGAGAGCTGGGGAGGTACCTTGGGGACATGGGGAGGGAGGAGCCTTCTGGACCAGAAGCCGCCCATCCTGGCTGCCTCACAGCTGTAGCCCGTAGACCTGGCCAGGAGGAACCTTGCCCCAACACACTATCTCTTTCCCAGTCTCATCACACCTTCTCCTCAGAGAGGTCTGAGAAGAACAGAGCCCAGGCTCCCAAGCCCCACCTAGTGCCCGGTCCAGCGCAGGCTCTCTGAGGTCACAGGTCCTGGGCTACTCCCACTGGTGCTGGAGGCATAGCTGATGGCAATGGGAAATCAACAGCAAAGAGAGGGCCAGCTCACTGCCTTCTGATTGGGGAGGGGAAGGGTGGCGGTGGCGCTAGTGTGTGTGTGTATGTGCATAGCCGCATACTCAAGGCATATTCGCCCTGGGGTGGAGTGGGTGGTGACAGAATAGAGCCCGGGCAGCTCTGGGGCCAACAGAGGCCTGACTAACTTGCGGTCTGGCTCTGGAAGGAAGCAGAAGGTCCCACTTGTCATTCAGCCAGCCAGCCCCAGCTCTGGGGTGCATGCAGGCTCACATGAAATACCCAGAGATGCATATCAGGACAGGCTTGTGGGGAGCTGAGATGCTCCTGCCGGGGCTGTGTGGAAAGGAGCCATCAGAGAAGCCGTGAGGCAGAGCACTGGGGTGCAGAAGAGCAGGAGCTCCACATGGAGCAACAGGTCAAGGTCACAGATAAAAGGGACAGGCGTGAGCCTCCATCCCAGCTCTACTGCTTGCATGCAGGATGACCTGGGCTCCTCTCTGGACCTTGGTCGTGAGAGCCAGTGTCTGTAAGAGGCCTGGCACAGGAAGTCAGCATGGTGGCTCAACAGGCTAATCCTACACTTGCAAGCACTAGCCTCCCATAATTGGCACTGGTTCGTGTCTCGGCTGCTATGCTTCTGATCCAGCTCCCTGCTTGTGGACTGGGAGTGCAGTGGAGAATGGTCCAACTCCTTGGGACCCTGCACCCACATGGTAGACCCGGAAGAGGCTCATAGCTTCCAATCAAGTCAGCTTAACTGTCATTTGGGGATTGAGTCAGCAGATAGAGGATCTTTGTCTCTTCTACTCTCTGTGAATTTGTCTTTCCAATAAAGAAAATAAATAAATCATTTTTTTAAGTGCAAGAAAATGTCCTTTAAAAAGAGAGGGAGAGAGCCTGGCAGCGTGGCCTAGCGGCTAAAATCCTCGCCTTGAACGCGCCGGGATCCCATATGGGCGCCGGTTCTAATTCCGGCAGCTCCACTTCCCATCCAGCTCCCTGCTTGTGGCCTGGGAAAGCAGTCGAGGACAGCCCAAAGCTTTGGGACCCTGCACCTGTGTGGGAGACCCAGAAGAGGTTCCTGGTTCACTGGCTTCGGATTGGCGCAGCACCGGCCATTGTGGTCACTTGGGGAGTGAATCATCGGACGGAAGATCTTCCTTTCTGTCTCTTCTCCTCTCTGTATATCTGACTTTCCAATACAAATAAATAAATCTTTAAAAAAAGAGAGAGAGGGAGAGAGAGAGAGAAAGAGAGAGAGAGAAATCTGGCACATGATGTGTCCACCATCATTAGGGTTCTGGAACAGTGGGACCCCTTAGAGGAGATGGAGTCGGCAGAGGGAGGCCTGGTCCAAGGGCCTGGCGGACAGGAGTGCAAGATGGGGGCTGCTTAGCCCAGGTGGCAGCTGGAGGCAGACAGGTCTGGCGGCCCTTGCCACAGAGGGCACACAACACTGGGGACTGGTTGGATGGGCAGGGTGAGTCAGGGTGTCTCCTGCTCAGCCTGGGGCTAGGGAGGGTGGGGCCACCTGGGAAGACTCCTGGAAACTAGGACAGACCTGAGGAAGCAGGTGGAGAGCCGTGCTCCTGAGCAGATGATAGCAGGATCTCGGTGCGCTGCATGGGGTGGGGGGGACCAGAAGGATGGCTGTGGCAAAGGGGACAGAAACACCTACCACTGAGGTAATGGAAAAGGGTGGGCACATCTCCCCCAGTTGAAGGAAAGACAGTTTCTCCTTCCAGGTCATCTCCTGATGTGGTGAAGGTAGGCAGGCCACGTGCTCCAGGTAGCTGTGGTACCCACCACGCCTTCTTGAGGGCACCTGCTGTGCCACAGACTCCTCAGGACTGCTGTCCGTCATGGGTGCATGGGAACCATTTCCCTACCACGTCCCCACCTCTAGCAGATGCCCTGCAAACCCAGGCCCGGGCACAGCAGAGCCAGGCAGCAGGGTCTAGTATAGACCCTCCAGAGTAGGCTCCATATAGCACAGGATGGTGGGCGGTTGGAAAGGTTCCTCTCCTGTTCCTCCCTCCTGCCATCAGACGTCATGGAGGAAGAATGACTTTCCAAGGCTTCAGCACTTACTTTTCAAATCACAGTAGAGTGGTATTGGATACTTCCTAATCCAGCTCATGTGACTGATGCCTCAAACCAGCGTGAGGACCCAATCCAGCCTACCCTGCAGGATTCCACCACGGCCACCTGAAATATACCCTAACCCTGTGACTATAAGCCTGCAGGCTTGGAAGCCAGACAGGTCTGTTCTGGGGCACAAGGATGTATCTGGCTGGGGCTTGCACAGTGGCATAGCGAGGAAAGCCACTATCTGTATCTCTGGCATCCCATATGGGTGCTGGTTCGAGTCCCAGCAGCTCCACTTCCCATCCAGATCTCTGCTAAAGTGCCTGACAAAGCAGCGGAGGATGTCACAAGTGTTTGGACTCCTGGATCCTGGCTTTGGGCTGGTCCAGCCCTGGCCATTGGGACCATTTGAAAGATAAACTAGTAGATGAATGGTCTCTCTCTATCTCTCCTTCTCCCTTCATAACACTAACTTTCAAATAAATTTAAAATACATTTTTTCTTATTTGTTTTTTTAAAGATTTATTTATTTTATTGGAAACTCAGATATACAGACATGAGGAAAGACAGAGAGAAAGATCTTCCAACCCATGATTCACTCCCCAAGTGACCATAATGGCCAGAGCTGCGCCGATCCGAAGCCAAGAGCCAGGAGCTTCTTCCAAGTCTCCCACATGGGTATGGATCCTAAGGCTTTGGGCCATCCTCAATTGCTTTCCCAGACCACAAGCAGGGATCTGGATGGGAAGCATGGCTATTGGGATTAGAACTGGCACTCATGTGGGATCCTGATGCATTCAAGGCAAGGACTCTAGCTGCTAGGCTATCTATTTATCTATCTATCTATCTATCTATCTATCTATCTATCTATCTATCTATCTATCTAGTATTTCGCTTCTCATTGCTAGGACACCATTGTCCTTGAAAAAAAAAATATTTTTTTTCTGAGTGAAGGACCTGGCTGTTTCTCCACATAACATAGCATGAAGATTCAAATGTAACCTGTGAATGCTGTTGCCAAAAATGCTTAACCTGATCCTGCAGGGGCCTAACTTCTGTGTCCAAAAAATCAGAGCTGCAATGCCAGTAGCAACAACCAGACAAGCTGAGTGTGGGGAGGGCCCTGTGTGAGCTACCTTGAGCCATGCTGCTGTCACTCCCAGCCATCCCCATCTCCCTGCTGAGCAGCTGCAAAGGCCTGGTCTGATTTCCCAGACTCCTTTGTAGCTAAGCATAGCATTCAACCCGCTACAGGGCAAGGAAAAGTCGGGAAAATGGCTGCTGAGGCATCTGGGTCCTTAAAATGGCCCAGTAGGGTGGCTCCAGCCAGGGTCTTGCATGAGGTTCCAGCGAACAGCCATGGCTTCAGACACACATGCTTGAGCCTACAGATCCACTCCAAGCTCACACCCATGGCTGGTGAGAGGCATCAGTTCTGAGCTGGCTATTGCTACAATGCTCCTATGTCTTCCCACAGTGACGACTGTGAGAGAAAGAGAGACCCAAGATGGAAACCACAGGTTGTGAATCCTTGATTATCCTGCTTATCTGTGAGCTGTGTGCTACTGACCACACAGACCAACCCTGGTGAAGTGTGTATGTGTGTGGGTGGGGGGGATGTACCGGAAAGTGGGGGTGATTGACAGCCACAATGCATGCTGGTTAATGCTCTGGGAGTGTAAGCTAGAGTCTGGGTGAGATTGCTGAGTGACTGCACCAGCCCCCAGACCCCAGAGGTACAAGTGCTGCCTCCTCTGTCACAGAGACTTTATTGTTTATAACTAAATGTCCTTAGTAAGCGCTGTCCCCAGGATA